TATTTTAATTATCTTATTTTAAATACATTGTGATTTGACGGAATAACCAAATAATTTAATTTTAATTTAATAAGTCACAATATGACGCAACTACACTATCTTACAAATTATGTATGTCAAGACACGAAATGTTCGAATTTTTTTAGCAACTATCGTCAGCATTTACAGCTGTAATTCCCCTGTAAAGAAACAACACAGAATTAATGTAAAAATAAGTGATTCTGTATAAGCTTTGTTACGTTATTTACTGTTTTGTTTAATTCATAATGGTTGTTTTTTTATTTCACTGTTGTATGCAGTAAATTTCTAATGTTTAATTTAACTTCTTTGCAGTTATGGCAGTGAGATGCTAATTGTAATACAACAGTGTGAATATCCAAAATTTAGAAGCTGAAGTCAAGGTACCTAGTTATAATAATTAATTGCTACGGATTCACATTTATGCCTCTTTGTTCCCATGAGTTGTAATCATTTTATTGTGGGTGTGAACAGTTACAGCATCCCATAAATACTTGTAATCTTATGTACGTTCAGTGCAGTTACTTTGAATATCAAAGTATAATTTGGCAGTAAAAAGGTATGGATATTAGATTGGAAGGTTAAATAATTCGATGGCAATTGATATCACTAGTTCCGTTGTCGACTGAAATGAAAGTAGTCGACGTAACTTTCCTATCGATATTTCGTATGCTGGGTTACCGGTGTCTAATGTTGATAAAATGTAATAAAATTTATAAAAATAAACACTTTAACTTGCAGCCACGTCAGATAATCGCGTGCGAGTATTAAGTGCTGAATAAGTATGTGATTTTGCAACAAAAATCGTAATTAAAATTTACTCCCCGGCTTTAATATTGTGATTAATACCTGATTTATTTAACAGCCCTTTTTAAGTGCCTCGTTTATTAGCGTCGAATAGCAGGTATTTTGCGAACAGTGAATCAGAAGGAATGCGGAAGGAAGCGATCGTAACCTACTATAATGTACTATTCCGGAATTTGATAGTGGAGGAGCTTAAACGACGAGAATCCTGGCCTGGGATTCAAGATTTGATCGCCGATATCCCAAATAAGAAGATGGAATGCCATCTGGCCACTCATCTAGTCTGAAAGCTGTAACAGCATTTGCGTTTACTAATGAGGACATTGTAGTTTGCAGGAGCCAAAAGTTCGACGCCTCTATTCCCCGATCTTCGGCCAGTTCAATCCATCGCCCATGTACTCTCTAAGATCCATATTAACATTTAAGAGCCCAGTGCCGCGTGTTTTGACATTAGTTAACTGTACACTTTGCCCACACGGTATATTTGTGTGTTTAATATGACTGAATAAACGACGGTTATATCTCTAAACATTATTAAAAAACCTATCTTTGTTTTGGACATGTGTTTTGTTGAGATTTATATCTATAATAAATGAAAATGAAGAACAGAGAGGTATGCAAAGTCGCAAGGAAATTAGGGTGTGACTTCCAAAGCCTGTTCAAGTGACTGTGTCGGTGTAATCTTAGGAATACTGCATAGTATTGGGTCTGAATTGATTAATAAGATTGTACAAATTCCGGGTGTGGTACGAATTATCTCCTGTCTACATATTGTAAACTATGTGAACAGCAGGCCTACTTCAGTCCACGAAGATGAAACGCCGGAGTTACACTTTACGGTGTAGGTACAGATCCTCATAGGACGTGATTGACATATTTTCATGGAATGTGGTATTAACATAATGCCACCTATTTACTTTTTGGTTTTTCTGTGATAAAAATTGCAGGTATTTCTAACTATTGAGGTGAGAATTGCTCCAACGCCATTTAGCATAGGTTTCTAACATTTTTATGGAAATATGTGTTCGAGAAATGGGCTACGTTTGTTTAAGTATTTTTTGTAATTTGAATGTAATTGACTGAACCAGGGAATATGGCCAAGTCGTTATGTCAGTAGTTCTGCAGACTTGTCAGCTGAAGTCGGCACCATTGAATCATAATATCGCCCTAGAGAAAGGCATAGCCGCACTCCATGTTGCCAAACGTCGGAATTTCCAAAGACCCAGCGTCTGTTTCAGAACGTAAACGATATATCGTATCGTATCGTTGGTATTCATAAACAGTGATTGCGTTAATTTGATTTGAACTAAATCGAAAGAGAATTGTCTGTACAACTGGATTTTATATCATTCTGTGTTAGATATATTGGCATAAACAAAACTTTGGTCGTATTATTTGCTTAGATAATATGGCCAAAATTATACTTCTCATAAGATATTTTTCTGGCGCGTGTAATGGAAGTGTAAGGTCGAGTTGTTTTATGTAGGTGAGTGAGTCCTGTAGTGGTGGGGATATCGAGTTCGTTTTAAGACATGATCAAAAATAAGAGCTTAGTATAATACCTTTGAATGTGAAACAACATTTTGGTCGTATTACTTGTATATTTACCTTTCGATTTGATGGCGACAACTAACCAACCACTGGAGCCAGTGTGTAAAGTTATGCACGGAGATAGATTACAAGCCTACCTATAAATTCTGTGTGAATCGTTTTTATTTATGAACTGTTACACAAGACGACGAAGAAGCGAAACGTTGTGGTTATATAATTGGAAGTCTAAAGGGGGAAGAAATCGGGGTGGGGCATATTTGTACAGAGAAGGAATGCTGGCAACCTATTCGTTTAATATTACTCGCACCAAGCTATATATTCTGAAGAGTGTATTCTTACCTCTGTTCAGGGATTACAGTGATACTAATAAAGTTTATAATGCGTTTTGTTGCATTTTTACTTCTTGGGTGCGTATCGTGTCTGTGCACAAAATATTCGTAATCCGTAATGTTGATGCGCGTGGTTCGGGGCGATCGTCCCGCTCTCCCCGCCCTAAGGACGGCCCTCCTGATACAGGATGAACGTTCAGTACCTTTGAATTTCTTATGGTAACGCGATTTCACACACCCTATTAAAGTCTTGAGCTGGTTTTCGTTCGGACGCTTCGTGTGGAAATGTGCATTGGCCGACTAAAAGCCAGTTTATTGGTTTGATTATATACAGCCTTTGTAAAGGCGTTGTAATGGATTACAGTCACTATCAGAAATTAAAGTGGGGATAAGGCATGGATTGGCAGGGAAAAAAGAAAGAACGTTTTCGTTTCTTGGCGTATATAACCCATGAAGTTGGCCGGTTCTGTAGTATGGAATGGAGGATGTTTTCAAGCAAGAGTATATTTGCAGTTATTGTGTGGGACGACATAGCATGAAAAATCTGAAGGTATCGAACAATCATCATGTACAACTGTCACAAATTTACATCGCCTTCTAATTGAATGATTCTAGCTATCGTCCCGGGTTGTTTACGGTCTAATGAAGCGGGACTTATGGACTTAATAGCTGGCACGTTTAGTCCAAGCATTGACCAACATCGTGACGTGATCATTGAAGCCATCTGTTCAGACCTCAATGCCAGCAGAAACACGTAACCGCGACAACATGCCAACGTCGTGGACGTCATATCGAGCGACACAGGGTTTGCCAAGACGGCCTCATCTGAACAGAACAGACCGAATGCGTTTTAATGTTATTTATACCGATGTTGTAAAAGCACCCGGTGCATTTTTTAAATAACCTACTTCGGGACCATGTGCCAGTGTGAACTGCAACCGGCTTTTACCCCGTTAGTCCAACGGGTAGGTGCATTTGGAATTGGTATTGGCACTGGGACGCTTGTTGGTCTGACTGCTTCAGCTAACCCACCTTAGTTGTCGCCGGCCACCATGTGATAGATAGGTCGTCATAGTCAAAACAACCACTGACCCGACACTTGATTGGTTAAGAGATGGGAAGATTGTTATGAATGATAAGTAGATTCCGGTTATGAATGAGGCGGCTGTGGCGTATTTGAAGGTGTCATCGCGGAATGCCCTCGGAGAAGCAGGAGATTTACGAAAACCTTAAGGTAGCTGCTAATATGGTATCTCCCAAATATAGGTCTAGACTATTATCCATACATATGATTACAAGAAATAACCGTAAAACCACAGCTTCTGAAATAGTTTACTCATAAAGAGGCAATAAAATAATTGCATCAGATTACGTTGAACTGCATTCCTTTTTCTGTGTGAATAAAATCACTCTGGATAGTCGGTCTCCTGGTAAGATTCGAACCGAGAATCTCCAAAATATGAAGGAGCAGCTGTAGTTATTGTAGAAGCGAATGCTGTTAGATGGTCTCTTAATTATTTTAATTCCGAGCAGTCTTTGTATTCGGTCCTTTGAATGTTATTTTAAGTGTACGTACTTTCAAGTCGCCTTATTTATCGGCAACTTCTCCAACATATGTATATTGTGTGTAGTCTATTGTGCACTCAAACTATGTCTACATGTATCGAAGTTGTCCGCGTTATCATCTTGCGTGTGTAACCTTTTAAGAATTTCTCGAGTTGGTTTCAGAATTTGTAATGCCATTGTTACTTGCTCCGGAAAGGGCTCCAGTGCCGACTTGGAACCGGCACCACAAACGCGAATCTTAGGTTCGATAAGAGCAGGGAATTTCTTGATCGACTGAGTGGTTACCCTATGCGACCGAAGAGATCGGGATTGCATTTTAGATCTTTCTTTATGTTTCCTTCATCCGTGTGTTTACCTTCTTCTGTCCGTCGTTGAATTTTTCTTCACCTTCATTTTGTTTGTTTGTTCCTTCCTTCATGGAGGTAAGTGATGGAATAAATATTTCCCCCCCCCCCCCCCCCCCCGTTTGTTCCCCATATTGTGCTGCGTTCATGTAGCCAAAATTGTCGCTTGCAGAGAAAGAAGGGTGTATTAGATGTCGTGATATGACGAGAAGTGTTCTCATCTACACAACTTAGCGTTTATGGTCAGAAAGGGTTAATACGACATAGTTGAAAGAATATTTACCTGTCGGGAAGGACACTGCTTTCGGCCTCGGTTTGGCCGAATATGCAGCAAGAGTGAACTAGAACTTTACTTCGTGGAAGTGGACATGAAGAAAGGGAATCGATAACCGTTTTGTTTACTGTGCAGCGTGAATTTTGTTCTGTCAGGACAAGTAACGCCCACAGCGCGCGCATTCCATTCAAATTGAACTGTCGTACAGCATTTCTAAAAGTTGCCTTCCACCGTGGGCAGTAAAGTTCACTCACAGACATTAATCTCTTGACGAAAAGTTTTGGAGTATCACCTCTACACAAACACATTGGCCTTCAGCTTAATTCTGTGGCACGAATACAATTTATTCATCGTTGGTTTAAAGTGACTAACTGCTGGGGCATCCATTTACTAAGTTCATTGAAAAGGACGTTTCGGTAACTGTAATCTATCTTCGCCTTCAGGTAAAACTTGCTCTGTTAAGGTAGTATATTTGCGTCATATTGTGAATTAAGTTAATATTTTCCGTCAAATCACAATTTTTAATAATAAGATAATAAAATATAAAATATTTAAAATATAATTTCACGTTCCGCATCGAAGGCCAGTTGATATAGCTACTCCCTTAGGTTTTACCTGAGGACAGGCAGATTCGTGCCCCGAATCGGTTTTAATAAGATTTGGTCGATGGATAAAGTCCAGTAATTTTGTTTTTTTAATACACCATCGCCACGTGCCTTCTGATTTATTTGTTATTTGAGGCATGTACGTGTTCGCGGATGTGTACGTATATCACAAATTCGATTGGCAGCAGTGGGAAGAGGTCTTTAACCACCCCAACCCTTAACTAGAAAGGGGGAAGACAGCAACTGGTTCTGAGCGACGTAGGAAGGCTGAGCAAACACGTTTCTTATCTCATTTGCGTTTATGTTTATTTATTGAAGACAAACCCATTGTTCCACTGCTGCATAGGACAATAAATACTGCCCCTTTATCTTGTTAAATGTTCACGTTATCGAAATATGTTTCACATAAGAGTTAGATTTGTTTTATGTGTTGTCCCAGTTTTTACGTTGGGCTTTTTTTATTAATTTTATAGAAGTTTTCTTCGTGTAAATTAAGTAGCGTCTGTAATTGTTCTATAAATTACACACAAAAGTTAGTTTTCCCGACAACTTTTAATATGTACCGAATCTCATAGATTCATCGAGTAGTTTTCGGAGATAATAGCGTTCAGACGGATGGACAGACATCTCATTTTTGTGTTCGTGATGCGCGCGTCGTTATCATTAAATAATATATATTTTTTAAATTTCACGTACCCCTTAAGATGTCTTCGCGTACCCCCGGGGGTACGGGTACCCCAGGTTGATACCACTGGTCTAGAACAGTGGTATTCAACCTTTTTTGTTATCGTACCCCCAGATATAATTTCTCTTCAACTTTGTACCCCCAACGTTGTTGGTGTATAATTCAAGTTATACATAGTATATAATCTACATCTAAAATAAATTAAATAAATTACATTACTGATTATTCAGTGTTTATCATAAAATAATATATATTTTTTTAAAATTTTACGTACCCCCTAAGATGTCTTCGCGTACCCCAGGTTGAATACCACTGGTCTAAAGAACACGCATGTTCGTTGGGATTTTGTTATAAGCAGGTTTTGCTGTACACGATAACCAGAAACCACGTGTGTGTACCTTCTCTTTAGTTACTGTTTGAACTGCAGCAGGTGGGTGGAATCACTTAGCCTGGGAGCCATTGTCACTGTTTGTTCGTAGCTGGTCTCCTTGTTGCGTTATCGGATCGTGGCTGCAGCATCGCCTTGCTGGCACCCACTTGTCAGAATGGAACTATAGTACACAGAAACTGTATGGTATTGTATTCTGCATTCAAATTACGTTAAAATGTTTGCTAGTCAGTTTGTACGGTTATAAGACTAGGTAGCGTAAGGATTTATCTCCACTCTATCTTCTCCAGGATACATCCAGTTGGTACCTGGAAGTTGTGACCAAAGCGTAGATCACTTCCCATTCCAGTGCAGAGGTTAAAAGAATGTGTGTAGTTTTATCTTGACTTCCCTATGTCTCCATGGCGTGTTACATAAACACAGGGACAGTTTAATGCTGCATACAAACATTTCTGTTCAATGTCATGTGTCGTATTCGGAAGGCTCCGGTTTCGAATGTTGATCCAGAGACCGACAGTCTTCACAGGTTATTTGTGGTTTTCAGCAGTCCCTTCCGGGCAGTTGGAAATTTTTTTAATTTAATTCAATTCGAAACATTGGTGTGCAGTCTACCCTTGATTGCTCGTTCGAATGTAGTTTTTTCTGGTACAGATTACGAGCACTAATTTGCTCCGTCGTTAAATTGTTTACACAAGTAGTCCATAGACAGGCGAAATTAACAGCTTTATTGGAAGGTTGTTTTAAATAGGTCAGTTGGAAAGTAATATGGACGACGTTAGAAAACATCATAGAGGCGCTGCCATCATTAAGTTCTTTTCCGCAGCAATCTACTGCCTTATTAGCTTGCTGGACTGCATTTCCCTTTCTCTCCCTTGGTTTAATGACTGTTATGAGTCGAGAGCCCAGAATTACGTGGCACATACAAACTTTCATGTTACCAGCACTAGGGTCATGAGGATTCTGTGTCTGTCATGGGGCAGCCATCTAATTCTCCCCCATGTACAGCCTTTCCCAGCTGTTAAATACGCCGGAGTGTGAGGCCTCATTGTTCTTTAGCCCTTCCGGTGCTAGAAACGAGCTATCTCGTTAAAGAAACTCACCGAACGTCACTATAGTTAGAACGCCAGCTTTCGTGATTGGCAGGTCTCAGCCCTAGATCTGCTATCATGATTTTATATATTTTATCGACAGTACACGGTGGTCTAGCGGTTAGAACGCTGGCCTTGTAATCCTGGGGTCTCGGGTTCGATTTCCGGCGGTGCCCGAATTTATAACTTGTGTTGGGCAACTGTTCATATGGACCTGTCGTCAGACAGAACACTATATAAATAAATACTCCATTTTATAATATCTAATGAATATAGTAGTAATTGATCAGTAATTGATCTATTCCAAATTTATACTGATCATTCCAAATAATTTAGACTACGTTAGGTACGCCATACAGAACACTAAATAAATAAATACACATTTTAAGTCTGGGGTTCCGAATTTCGCGTTATAATTCTCCATCTTCGGGTTAGATTCTTGGTTTTGAAGCTGCCTGTCTTGACATTTCTTGTGGGTTTTCTGACCTTTTTGCAAATTGCTGCAATAAATTCATTGACAAAAAGTATTCCACATTATATGCGGAAGATTGCAAGTGCTATCCCTTCTTAGGGGCCCTAGTCCACTATGAGGTTGAAGAAATTTTGTTCCAAAGTTTCTTCATTTGGTAGGACTTCTTGGGAGGAGAGGCGAGGCCTCTACCTGTAACACAGAATGAAGTTACAATTGTAAGTAGGTTCATCTGGCATTACCGCCGTAGCATCTGTCTCTGCTTGTGGATTTTGTGCGGAAACATGAGTCACTAATTTGTATGATTATTTTCCACCTCGTGTTGGTAACGAACAACCAGCGTGCTGCCATCTAAACATTTCTAAAGCAATCCATTTATATCGGTGTTTGTACGAGGTTACGAACATATCAGTAGATGGCAGGGAAAGTGCTGTAGTGGTTGTGCTTTCATTGCAATTTATAGCATTCCGGTGATTTTCAACGGTGTAGAGTCCTCGGAAGTGTGGTGTAAAGGGATTGCTAACATTATATTTGTAGTTTCGAGCGCCTTTTACCTTTTAACAGTAGAAGGGGGCGTAGAACATGCGAGGATATAAATAATTGATATTCGTATGCACATCCATGTCTGTGTGCTATGCCTTTTTGTTTGATATCCTGGTTTTGGTTTCATCAGTGCCGTGTATCTGTGTGGAATAGTAAGTCCACTTTGGCAAGCCGGTAAATATGGTGTGAATTACCTCAGGAGCCGTGCACATTTATGCTGTTGTGTGTTAGATAATATACATCGACGTTTAACAATGGGAATCGGAATAAATATTTGGTATCGTCCAGATCGATGTATTGAATAGTAGCGTGTTTCGTTAACTTTGACAGGCAAAGTGTACAACAGTTTGGCCCTGTTGAATCTGGTATAATAACGGCAATGTTAATACATTGCCTTTGTTTCAGTTTATTGCTTTTTATCGCTTCGTGATACACGCTCGATAATCGAGTCGGAATTTTGTGTAATAAATTCTTAATGCGTTCTTGTAAATTACTTTGCGTAAGGTTTGTTCACGGGGCTTCATAAATACGTTCGCCCATTTGCCACGTGCAAGTTAACGGAGCCCGATAAAAAGTACGTGGTGAGTGTAAATATATTAACATTTTATAGATTATTTATTGTCATACGTAAGGCGCAGAAGATATGTGAAACAGTGTCTAGTTTTGTGTGGTCTTCACATACGAGGTCCAGTTTCTAACATCTTGTATGAAGACGGCGTATGCTACGTGGGAATGGGGATAATAAATTTTGAATAAAAATTTTCTTGGATATTATCCATCGTCTAGTAAATATAAAACGTAAAACGACGTTTCGGAGATGGGACTCTATCTCCGTCTTCAGGTTCCTACACAGTTGGGCCCACTAGATAGAGCTAATCCCTATCTCCGGACCCCTACACAGTTGGGCCCACTAGATAGAGCTAATCCCTATCTCCGGAGGAACCTGAAGACGGAGATAGAGTCCCATCTCCGAAACGTCGTTTTACGTTTTATATTTACTAGACGATGGATAATATCCAAGAAAATTTTTATTCAATTGACT